TCGATGATAAACTTTAGAATTTGACCAAATAAATAGTGTTGATTAAAAAAAAAAGTTGATAAACAAAAAAAGACCAAATAAATAGTAAAAAACGAATAATATAGCTAAAATAACAAAAATATTTCTATTGAGGTTAAACATACAAAACGTTAATAATGATGGTAACTAATTATGTAGAAGCAAGTTAATTCAATATAATGAAGGTTTTATGAAGAAACAAAAAAACATTCCAAGTTTTTGGAAAAAGTCTATTGCTATTTGCCCAGAAAATACAAAATGGATTGAAGGAATAAGAACGGTGTAAATGGTATCGGAGGAATTTTGCAGAATTCTGCAGAATTTTTGGTGATTTTTTGCGAAATCTGGCGGAATAATTTTGAATTTAAATAGTAACAGTTGAATTTTGTGAAATCTGGCAGAATTTTTAAAAATAAATTAATTAATTAAACTTATGAAAATATTGATAAAAATTGTGTTTGACGAAATTAAATATTTATGTTTACAAATATTAAATTTTACAAAATAATAATTTTTATTAAATTGTTTGGTAAACCCAACTGATATTATTAATAATTTTTACGAAATTGTTTTGTATTGATCATCTACTTAGTTAGTAATTTTAACATAACTTATTTCATCAAAATTTTTGTTTGGCAAAATTTCCAAATATGTTTTTATTATTTACAGCTAAAACTAGTTAAACAATTCAAGACTTATTTATTTATGATATTTACAAATGATTAAACAAATAAAATTAAAACTACAATATACGTCCATACGTAAAAAAACACACACAATTGACAATTATTTATGTGTTATCTATTTGTTATTATTTTTCCAATAAAAATTATTTTTGTTGGTCCCCAAATACAAGTGCAGAGAGACGAAAAAAGTGAAATCAATTATAAAAAATAATATAATGTGCATTTAGTAAATTAACTTCATCATTTTATGTAAAAAAATATATGCATAAATAGTTAATAACTAAAAAGAAACTGTTGAAGTGAACAGTATTCCACAAAATTTCTCCACAATCCTTTAAAAGTAGTGTTTTGAAAACAAACCGGATCAGGGGTCGGACCGAGTTCAACTGTGAATCAGCCAGCTAGTCGAGTTGGGTTGACCTGGGTTTGAG